GATAAAAGATAAAAGATAAAAGATAAAAGATAAAAGATAAAAGATAAAAGATAAAAGATAAAAGATAAAAGATAAAAGATAAAAAATAAAAAATAAAAAATAAAAAATAAAAAATAAAAAATAAAAAATAAAAAATAAAAAATAAAAAAAATAAAAAATAAAAAATAAAAAAATAAAAATAAAAATAAAAAAATAAAAATAAAAATAAAAAAATAAATATAAAAATAAAAAAATAAATATAAAAATAAAAAAATAAATAAATTAATTAATTTAAGAAAAAATAGATTTTATACTTGATATTTTATATAGAAAAATACAGTTAACCCCTCTATAATCACCTTTTCAATAGCTACAAAATTAATATAATAGATCTTCTTCAGTATAAATAGGCATATATAAATTATTACAAGATTATAATATATAAAATCTAACTAATTTAGCCAATTTAAACTTTAACCTTAACTCTGACTCTAATAATTTATAAAATTATTTAAATTAGTTCAAAATAGTTAAATTATATATGCTATAATTGTATAATAATTATATATGGCCACCTATACTAAAGATCAACCAATATGATTTCAAATTTCTTTTTACCAATTATTTATAACTATTATATTTAGAAATATCTTTATATTAGTTACACAATTTTTTGTATTTTGAAGATGTGTCTATAGAAGGTTTGACTATATATAAAACAATAAAAATTTAAATAAAAAGAAAGACCATGATAGATAAAACAAACCAAGAAAATACAGTTCATTGAATAAATAAAAAGAGTAGACACAAAAAATACAGAATAGATATAACAAAAAAACACTAAAAGAACTTGTTTGGCAATTTAAAAAATTAGTAAACAGCAGATTAGCAAAACAACAAGAAAGAAAGAAAATTAAAAAGAAAAAAAACTAATTAAACAATAGAAAGAAGAAAAAAATACCAATAAGAGAAAAGAAAAAAGATATAAAAAAAAACAAGATTATAGAAAGATATCAAAGGCTTTAATGAAAGAAGAATTCTAAATCAACGAAAAGACAGAATCTAGGCTCACAGCATCAACTCTAGAAGAAGAAACAAACACTATAATAGAAGTTGAATTCAAGAATCACAAGTTTACATTGGGTTTGTAAATCTATATAAAAATTTATATAATATTTATACATCGTTGCAGAGCTATATAAATTTATAATTGTGCTTGCTAATAATATTTGCCATAACATATATCTATTACAATGATTTAATTTTTTTATCCAAAATTTGAAATTAAAGAATCAATAAAATTTACTATTAAGTTAGTATTATCATTGTTAACATTAACCTATACAATCATTAAGTATACTCAGCAAGGCTTAAAGCAGTCTTTTAGAAAGCAGGAGGCGTTTGACGTATTAAGTAAATTAATAATCATATGATCTAAAACAGGCGCAGACGTAAGTATAAATCCGCTCTATCATACTCAGTCACGTCTTATATCAAAAGCATGTATAAAATAAAGCGCTATTGAGCCGTAAAAAGTATGCACCTATTCTTATTAGACCCTCCGCAAGGCCAGTTCATTATAGAGAGGATTTGACAGTATTTGAGGAGTGAGATTAAAAATTGTTAGGAAAAATTTATTGTAAAATAAGTTATTATTGTTTATTATCTATTTTGATGTTCACATAGTTCATTATATTGAGTGCCGCCAAGGGAAATCCTGTCATCGAACTTCAATTATATTTTGTGTACAGTTAGCCGTCTATGAAAAATCTACATAATGATAGAATTTCCATAGATGGCTAACTGCACACAAAATATAATTGAAAGTCCGATGACAAGTTTTCCCTTGGCGGCACTCATATTGAATATTATGTACCTTTTTTTTCTATCTTAAACTATGGTACGTTTTGATTGATGCACTTCATTTAATCAGAATAAATGTAATTTTAAAAAAAATCATTTATCAGTAAAAAATTTTAATATCAAATATATAAGATTGATAATCGTGTTCAAAATAATTCCTTGTATAATGTTGGCTGTAAAGACTATCAAATTGTTTATTTATTGTTTAGTACATCTTAAAGATACAGCCAAGTTAACTAACAATTACCTAATTTAGAACCCTTAAACTTTCTGACATTGAATTATTATATATAATTAAAATTCATTGTCCATTTGCCTAATATCTTTTTTTGCGTTGGTAAGAAATTTATATTTGAAAAACCAAATAAATGAATGTCTGTTTCCTGTGATAAATCAAGTGATGTTTAAATTTTAGTAACAAAAAAATAGTAGTATAAAGCATATCAAAGATTTAAACAAGTATTTTTGTATAATTGAATAAAAAGAACTTAGTTGATGATAAGTTTCAACTCTAAGATAAAACAAAAGGAAATGATTAGAATACTATAAATTTAATATGTAAAATTAATGAATACATACAGTTTTTTGAAAAGTTGCAATAACGGAAGAGATTAACTCTAATTCTTTTGTCTTTTCGTTGTATAATTCAGTATAATGCTGCAATAAATTTGCCACACTCAGATTTCCCATTTCCAATTTATCGTCAGGCATTCGAATATCACTATTGTCCATAATGATATCATTGCTAGAATCAAGAGCGTTCAGATCTTCAAAAACACGTTGAATAGATGGACGTTGATATGAATTGTATTGCCAGCATTCTGAAAATGAATATAATTGATTTTAGGCATTAAATAGAAATTAATAAATGGATTTAACAAATGGATTTTAACAAATGGATATAGCAAATGCAATAGGTATTATGCAAATAAATATAAATACCCTCATATATTTTCACATATCCTTTTGGAGTTCCAGGTATTTCATTTTCACGTTTACCATGAATAATAGTGTTTAATAAATCATAACCATAAGGAGATTCTGATTCAAATGGAATAACACCGCTTGAAATCTGCCAAAGAAGAATTCCAATGCTATATACATCCGAACTTTTATTAAGTTTGTAGTTTTCAATACTTTGTAAATACTGAGGATCTATATATTGGATAAATTTATATATATTGGAAAAATAAATCTGATATCTCGATGTTCCAAATTCGTTCAATTTGATATCGCCTTTGTGAACAAAAATGTTTTCAGAATGCTAAAGCAAATTAAGTATAAGAATTTATAGCAAATTATTTCAAAAAACATGTATAAAGGAAATTTAGAGTACCAGATTCATGTGAATTATATTATTTTCATGCAAAAATTTTACAGCACTGACAAGTTGCTTTGCAAGACGTAATCTTTCCTTCCAGCTAATAGAACTAGAATTTTGTTCCAAATATTGACAAAGAGTTCCGCCATCTGCATACTCAAGAACTAACATAATTTCCTTTGGTCCTACAAGATGTTTAAAAAAACGGCTAAATTTTATTAATAATAAGAATTTCATTAAAAACATTATATATTTTATTCACACACACACGTTGTCTGGTTGCGCCTAAAATTTTTAAAATGTTATCATGTAATTCTACTTCTTGATGCTGCTTCAGCTAAAAATTGTAAAATATTACACTATAATTAAGTACTATACGATTAAAAGCTAAACAAATCGTTAATATGAAAGTGCTTACATTAGCAATAAAGTCTTTAAATGTGTACTTTTGAGAAAAAACGATCTTATTCAAAATCATAGTTTTATTATATTTTTCAGAGAAAGCTTTATAACTATTACTAGGCAACTCCGTACTAATGGTTTCAATTTTATTTTCGTCGAAACAATCAAATGGAATTTCTTTAATATTCTTCTTTTCAAAAAATTCATTTATCTGCTTCTCCAGCTTGGAATCAGAGTAATCTTCAGATTGTTGTGCCATGTTATGATATAATAATATATGCGTTTCTATTAAAATTATAATTTACAAGGATTTAAGTGAAAAAAGACTACAGTAATGCCGTATTACGTACTGAATCGATATTTAAACGGAAGGATCAGTGTTGTGAAACTTGTTCGATCCCACGTGATATATGTACGTTTTATTGAATATACATTACTAACTATATGTCTTGTTAGTACTAGCTGTTGCTCTTATACAACCGTACTAATAAAATGTCTTGACCTAAAATAAATTCGTTTACTTTTTCTCTAATGTATGACTTGCTCATAAAGTTTAATTCGATAACTATCTATAGTTATTTTCATTTATTATTTTAATCTTGATTCGTTTATTCAATTTATACTATAGATTTCATACTTATAAATAAGGTTTATTAGTAATAATGCGTCAAAAAATACGTAGTAAAATTCTATTTATTTAATTCAATATTATAATAGCCAGATATAGACACATTCTTATTTATTGAAAACAAAATTTGATAAACTCTTACATCATTTTGACATTGTTTTTAAATCACTGAATTATTCAGATAGGTGACATACTTTCTGATTTTGTCTATAAATACCAACGCAATATCTGCGTTTTTCGTGTTTATTGGTCCTTTAAATAAACATCTATAATTAAAATCTGTTTAAAATTCTGTTGGAGAAACTTCCGTCTTTTTATGATGCTTGAAGAGCAGCCTGTTGATAACCCTTCGACAATAAATTTAGTTGAAAATGGTCCTATTATCTGTGTTGATTCCCCTCTTCCCGATACTTCTACCGATCAAATCGTGATAGAAGATGAAGAAACTTTGATGGAAGGTTTTGTTACAATTTCGCAAAGTCCATCGACTACGCCTTTGAATTCTCCCCCACAAAATTTCAATGCCATAACTCTTCCAAAAAAATTAGACAAACGTTCTATCGATCTATCTGATTTAATTTTAGATAATCCTTCCAAAAAATCAAAAGATTACACTGAATCTGTTGCGCGAGGTTATTTATATCTTGCCAAATTCAGAGAATGGAAAAATAATGATGGTTCATATTTTCCGATATCAGTTATGAATCTATGTAATTATTTACGTGTCAAAATGTTAACTAATAATATAAAAAGTTTGGATTGGAATATTGGCGCTCTTGGTAAATATCAAAAAAATGTATTAAATATTCAAAATTGGAACGATATAAGACTTCATCAAGATGTTAGGGATTTAATGAACCAAATTCGTGAAGAAAAAATGAGGGTGGGTAATGTAAAAAAAATCAATGGGAATAATGCAAATGGTGAGAACAAAATTAAAAAAATGAAAGGGAAAGATTCGTCAGTATTATCTTCCTATAGTGGATCATCATCTCCTTCCCCAACGCCTCTTTCGAATGATAATCGAAAAAAGAAACGTTTAGCACGATCAAAAAGTGCTTATGACCGTGTGAAATCGTCTTCAAATGATCATGAAATTATCCAGAATTTTGGTTCTGCAAGTGTTGCTCCATTTCCATTTCCGCAGATGCAATTTTCTGGCGTTGATTTACCTTATGTTATTAAATATATACCCGAATGTAACATTATGAATGTGTTTCCAACCCAAAAAGCTATAAGTAATTTTATTTTTAATTTTTATAAACTTAATTTATATCTTTATCTTTATTTATCAATTTCCCAATTTTTTTAGGCGAAGGAACCGAAATTTCTCACACTATGCTATCTGTCAGTGGTGAATCTTCTCAAACACCGATACCAGAAGAATCAATGATTTCTTTAATATCTACGCAGGATAATGTGGACGTTTCTTCGACTTCAATAGGTACATTTTAATAAAAAAATTTTTTTTTTATAGTTGGATTAACCGTTGCACGGTTAGTTCTAATGCTTTTTTAAAATCCGTGAGTGACTCTCATATTTCATATTTATCTATCCTTTAAATTTTAGATTACCGCCCACAACTTCTTATGTTACCTTCCAAAAGTAAGGCTTCTTAATTTCATATTATCATTCTTTGGTCTTAGTTTCATATTATTATTCTTGATTTTAATTACATGTATAATATTTTAATTTACCAAGATTTCTGGAAAGAGATCGGTGTACAAAAAGAGATAATCCGAGAAGATGAGGAGGTAATTTTTTAACATCAACAACACATCTGAAATGACAAAATAATACAATTTCCTTGTTAAATAGGTTGAACCTGAAAGTTTTAAATCTTGTTACGAGAGGTCTCTTTCCATTCTCAAGTCATTATACGCAAATCATTGTAGTTTTCATCCTGATGGTTGTGTTTTGCTACCGGGTGATTTCCATTTCGTGCTCAGTGACACACATTACCGCCGTTGGGCTTTATTATGCGTAACTATTCTCTTGTATTCTGTACATATATGAATTCTGTAATTTGGTTGTGATAACTTATGACCGCATTAATAGGCGTCAGGTGATGATTTTGTCGAAACGGATTTACCGGTCGCCGAAGAATTGGATGAATTTTCCAAGAGACATGCTGTTAAAGTTTAACTATAGAACGCCTGAGGATGATTCCATACTAATATATTAATTACACTCATTGTGTTTGTACTTTAAAAATGGCATTAAGTGTTTCTTTGTCTCACTTTTATAAATCAACAATCCACTTCATGGAGGATTAGGGTAGTCTCTCAACTTAAGAATATAAGTTATTTTTTCTTTATACGACTTGATTATTTATCATTTCATTATGATGGGTTATTTATATAAATCTTGCAGTTAAACGGTTTAAATAGAACTAATGCTGTAATGTCAAGTTACATTTTATAATAAAAGAAACGGACATCAACTTTTAATAATTTATATTATTTTGTTATGAAGTTGTAAAATTTAGTATTAAAATTTTTTTGTAATTTAGTAGGGTTTTACTAAAACGCACCTATGGTGTTTTGCTCCTATGTATACATTATTTAAAAATTGGTAATTAATCGGTGTGAGGTGTTCTAAGTAAAAATGTTCTACGCCCCAAAAACCCTTCCCAAACCCTAATCCTAACCTTAATATTAACTTTAGCGTGAAAAAATTGGTGTTAAAAATTTTATATACAAAACTTATAAAAACTTATAAAACATAATAAAAACATATAGGTGCAAAACCACCATAGGTGCGTTTTATAATAATTGATTTGGTGATTAAAATAAATT